TTAAACTAAAAAAGAGTATCTCGAACGAGATTCGAATACTCTTTTTTTTTACTATAATATTTTAGTAGTCTACGTAATCCGGATCCGATCCGGATTCGATCCGGATCTAATCTATTAAGAAAATTAATAGATTAAGCCTCCGATCTAGGATCCGATCCGGATTAGACCTAGTTCGGACCTAGTTCGGATCTACTTTAGATCCTAGGTCCGAACTAGGTCTGATCCTAGATCGATCCCGGATTGAGCCTTTGCAGGAGGCCAGTACTGTACCAGGGGCTGTCGGGTTTCACTGGTGGATAACGTGGTGGCGGTTGGAAGAGAGTTCGCCAAGAGCCGTTTAAAAAATCTGACCTACTAGTAATAAAGACCTAGCTCCTTCCTTCGCAATCGACCATAGGATCAAGACTACAGCGCTTCCCGTTCGCTCAGCGGTACTTAAGCTTGATGCCGGCCAGTTAGTACTAAAGTGGGTGACCATTTGGGAATCCTGGCTGTTGATTGTTTTTGCCCTTTCTCTTTTTTTATATTTTGATGTAGCCGGTCAAGCGAGTGTTAATTATTCTCCTCTCCTTTCCTTCATTCGTCGTCCGCTTCGCCATTTGCAAACATGTATTGTTGAATGGGTCAATCCACTAGCTGGATGGCGCCTCAAGCACCAAAAAGTCAAATGAGTGTGTTCTACCTTCCTTTTCTTTTTGGCCACCGATGACCTCAGCTGTTGGCTTTACAATTGCAGCCATGTGCTGTTTTTGGCCATAATCAAAAAATCGATGGCATCGACCTGCTGAGCTGAATAGAGCCCGAACTTTGCAGCGCGCAGATGCCGGTCCTTTCGCAATAGGTGTCCTGCAAGATATCGTGTTGTCGGCTCAACAGGGCAAAATGCAGTGCGGCGTTAATGATGGATCAACCCCTTGCACTTCCACATGACGCTCCAGCCACCAAAGATAGACACCAGTCCGGTAAAGATGATCAGCGGACCATACTCGGTGCCGTAGCCGGAGAGACCCGGGCCGTTCATTTTGCCCGTCTTCAGCAACCGGACCCCGGCCAATCCACCACTCACGTAACCTAGACCTCGGGCACCATTTAAGAGGCCATATACGACTCCGATATCGATCGCCTCGTTCCTGTCGGCAGCCTCATGCTCCAACTGCTTGATGACCCCGCCCCATGTTGAGCTGTATCCGCTGGCGAAGAAGCCGAATATGATTGAGAAGAGAGTCAGTGCTGCCATACTCGTACGCGGTGCAAGGCCCCAGAGCAGGAATACCGATAATGCGGAACTAATACTGGAGACCCACGTCGACGTCGTCGCCGACAAGGGGTACCATTTGTTATCACTCAGATAGCCAAAGAACGAACTGGACAGAATACCCGGGATGTTGAACAGACACAGCAGGAGGGTACCGGAAGTCTGCGACAGTGCTCCGGCATCCTGCGCGTACGAGTTCAGATAAGTCTGAGGAATGCCATAGCCGGAACTCTGCATGATGGTCGCGATGCTGTAGATGTAAAAGGTCTGATGTTTGAGGAAATGCCACGGAGTATGTCGAGGACGTGGCGTCGTTGAGGAGCCGTGGCGATCTTCGTCAGTGCTAGTTGTAGTGGTCGACAAAACACCCGCATGTGTGACAGGCAGCAGGAATATAGCACCCAGACTACTCCCGGTAATCACGGCCGTCCATATCCTCATCGTTGTGCGGAACCCATAGCGGTCCAGCAGAAAACGTAGGAGAAACGGACATGCCGATCCCACAATGTTCTTGCACGAGAACACGATGCCATATGCCACTGCGCGATTGTGTGTCGTGAAGCTTTCGCCCAGCGACAGCGTCGTGGGACTGTAGACCAATGCACTGCCCAACGCGGCCAGGACGCCCTGAGTGGCCACAAGGTGCCAGACCTGTGTGCTGAACGAGGACAGCAGGAAGCTGACGAACGCCAGTCCAACGCCGCAATACGCCACCGCGTGCCGGTATCTTGCGTAACGTTGGCTGAAGGCCGCGAAGAAGAACGGCATCGACAGGTAGATCACCCCGTTGGACGTAGTGCCGATCACGCCGGTTGCTGACCGTGAACTGGAAGCTTGCAAGAATTTCGCTGTCGAGTAGTATTCTTGGAACACACCGTAACTCATGGCAAAGCCTGTTTCACCGTGAAAAGCGTCAGTACTGCCCTATGTTTGGATCATGCTGGACCCTGCTACCGATACAGTGAATGATCACTGGAAACATATTGTTGGGGATATAGATCGGGAAAGGGTAGATGAATCATCCAACGTTCATAGAGAGAGATATATTCTGGAGTTTGCGTACCCCATATGGGAAGTTGTAGTACCGCTGACGCCACAAGGATGCGAGCTTTCCTCCTGGCCAGCTGATGCTGTCGATCTTGTAAGGACGGGGAGTCATAATCATAATGCCCTGGAGGGTCGAAGCTGCTCTCGAGCTCGACTTCGTTCGGAAGGGCAAATGTTGGATGCACTCGCGGCGACGCTTCGACAAGAGGGGATGGAAGGGGGTGATTGCCCGCCATATTACTATGTACCCACAAAGTACAGGTATCACTACGTATGTAGTACCGGAGAACTGTCGATACTGGTTTTGATGTCAAATAGATATGTAAGTAGTAGATTCAATATACATAGTACAATAAAGTGTGAGAATATGTAGAGTAGACAGTACCTGACCTAAATTGCTGTCCCACTGGCCATCGGGTACGAGTTATCTCACTTCACGCAATTTGTGAGGGGATGTGAGGGGATCTGGTCGCCTTAAGCATATACTATGTACCGAGGCATAAAGTACATAGTACTATGTACTGTAGTATATATATCGGAGTACTACCGTGACCGTACTAAATACTACATACTAGTACTATAGTATTTAAACTATATAGTATATACTAGTATATATACTAGTATTATCCGATTATAGGCCTTTATAGGGAGTTTACAACTATAGTAAACCTATATAGAATAATTCAGATAACGGTTATTTAGGTTCGGGACTATACTAGTACATAGTATCCGAACAGTGTTTGGACAGTAGCCTAGTTCAGTTCGAAATAGTAGTAGAATTATTATAGTAACTAAAGTATCTACGGCCTATAGATACTATAGTATATAGACTATAGTAAGGTATATTGAAATCGTATTACTACTATATTACTATAGTATAGATATAGTGTTTAAAAAGATTTCGAACCGGGCTCCGAAACGTATCTGAATCGATTCCGAATCGGGTTCAAATCGGCCGAGTTAGCGTACTTGATTAGTACTAGTATAATAAAACTACTGCTTAGAGCGGTATTAGAAGGATCTCTATAACGTTAAACCTTAAATCAAAGTATAACTATATAGTACCTACAGTATATATATCTTTATAGGTGCCCACCCCCTATAGAATTAATATAGTATTAACACCGTATTAACACGGTTTCGATATAGTTTCGAAACCGTTTAGGGAATCGAATATATATCCGATATAGTTCTACTATAGTTCGAATCGAGACCGGTTCGAAATCGTTTACTGGTGTAAGCGTATTAAGACCGTATTAGCTCTATTTACTTAGATCCTAAATTTCGAGTATATCTACTACGTACGTATCTACCTTCTTAATTATTCTTCTACTATATATATATAGTACTGGCCTCCTACAAAGGCTCAATCCGGGATCGATCTAGGATTAGACCTAGTTTAGACCTAGGATCTAAAGTAGATCCGAACTAGGTCGGAACTAGGTCTAAACCGGATCGGATCCTAGATCGGAGGCTTAATCTACTAATTTTCTTAGTAGATCGGATCCGGATCGGATCCGGATCGAATCCGGCTTACGTATCGGCTACTATAATAGTAAAAAAAAAAGAGAGTTCGAATCCTACTAGAAGTACTCTTTTTTAGTTTAAGACTACCGATAGAATTTTTATTTTTTAAATTATAGACGGTAGCGACGTTATTACTACTCGGCTACGATATCGTATATCGTATTTCTAGTAGTATTTTCGATATATTAATCTATAATCTATAAATATTACGTAATATATTAATTTAAAAAAATTAACAATTTAAAAATTTTAACTAAGTTAAGGAGTAATTCTCGATACGCTAGTTAGCCTATAGCGATCTCTATAGCGATCTCTATAGTAATTCTCTCGTGATCCTCTCGTGATTCTCTCGTAATCCTCTCGTAATCTACGATACGTTATTTAGCCTATAAGTGATTCTCGAGTAGGATCCGATCAGGATTAGAGTAGGGTTAATATAGCGTTAATATAGGATCGATATAGGATTAATCCTTTATAGGAGGGCATATATGTACTATGTATTTATACACTTATAGTTAGTACTTGCCTACCGAGTGTCCTGCCGATCGTCCTGCTACGCGTCTATCCACTCGAGCGTCCCGTAGAGCGTCCTATCGAGTATCCTATCGAGCGCCCTATCGAACGTACTGTCGAGCGCACTGTCGAGCGCACTGTCGAATGTACTGTCGAACGTACTAGTACTGTTAAGCGTATTGTCGAGCGTGCAGTTAAGCGTGTACTTGAGCGTATACTGGTACTAGTAGTTACACCTTTTCTATTATAGCTCTACTAGTACTATATAGTAAATGTAGAAATCGTATCGAGAGCTCTTAAGGCTCAGTACCGTATCAATATACATAGTGTTGCACCTCGAAATCGATTCCACTACGGTTCGAAACCGGTTCTAAACGTTGATTTTATCACCGATTTAAGCACGCCGACTCGGATCGAAACCGTATTAATACGATATTAATACGATGTTAATACGATATTAATACGATATTAATACGGTGTTAATAGGGTATTAAACTACTCTACTATAGCCTATATAGGTACTATATACTACACTACTATAGTTAAGACTTATAAAAAGGATAAAATAGCTACTAGTAATTTAGTAAGAATTTAATAGTAGGTCTATAATTATAGTAGATATAGACTAAAAATACTTAAATAATACTAAATATATAAACGGTTCCAAACCGACTCTGAACCGATTCGGAACTGTAGTGGAATTGTGTCGAATATATATTCGATCCCTAAAAGGTTTTGAAACCTAGTTAAAATTGTATTAAAACCGTGCTCCTGACTAGGATTCGCACTCACTCTTTTGCTTTTTTGGAACTATATCTGAACTACTAGTAGGTCTAATCCTAGATCGGTCCTATATAGCTTAGCCTCTTTTAGAAGGCTAGTATACTAGTACTACTAAGAAATTAAGGAGGTATACCTATCCTAGTAGTAGATATAAGTATTCAGAACTAGTTCCAAATTGGTTCGAAATTGGTTTGGAGTCGATTCGGAACCGATTCGGAATCGTGTTGGATATATATTTGAGCCCCTAAACGGTCTCGAAACTATATTGATCTCTAGGTTGAAGACTATACCGTTTCTTATATATCTATAATACTACTAGTAATTATAAGTCGGAAGATACAGAAGTGATTTTGAACTGATATGTTGGATGTGCCTACCTAAGGTACACAGTCTAAGAAGCCAGCTGCTGTAGTTTCGCCTTCTCCTCGTCCGTTAACTGTGCAAAGAGCGAGGCAAAATCTTCCTTCTCAGCTTCAGCCTTGAACCATTGCAACAAGTAATCGGCGGTCTCCTCATCTCTAGCCCTAGAACCGGTGGGACTTGCTCCGGCCCCGTCAGCGCCAAACCCTCCCTCGCCGACCAGGGCCATCAGATCCCCTCGGATTGTCGCACTCGCAAGGTCAATTGCACCACCGGTGCCGACGTCTTCCCATTCGTCTGCATCGTCGGCTTCGGCATCTTCTTCGTCCAGGGCATCCGCGGCCGCCTTTGCCGCCGCAAAGTCTGGGTACTGCGAGGTGGCGGCGGATGCCAGTTCGTCAACAAGAATCTTGAGGATTTTCAAGTCCGCAGGCACCGACGTCCATCGGTCGGGATTGAGTTTGGCCTGGGATCGCGTCTTGATACGGCCGGAGGGGTTGGCATCTACGATCAAGTCCCCTTTGACCTGGACGGCTTTGACACGAGGATCATGAAGGGAGAAGACCTTGGAGAGAGCGACGACATTGTGCCTGACTTCATCAAAGCCTGCAAAATGCACCGAATTCTCGAGCCATTTCGTCAAGACCACAGCCAGCCCGTTGGTGCCATTGATGTTGACCTCGGACAGGAAGTCGACCACTTCCTTGGGCGCAGCGAGTGAAAGCTCCACAAATACCATGCACAAGCTCTGTATGAACTGGATCCGTTCGGCAGTCGCAAGTCGGACCGCCACCGCCCGCAACAAGTCCATCAGATATGGTCCAAGCTTGTCGGAGCCAAACTTGGTTACGAGGGTCGACGCCAGTCCGCCCACTTCCTGGCCGGCGTACTCATCGACGTCAGGCGAGTTGAGCAATCGGTTGACAATTGACAGTGTCACTTCAATAGAGGATTTTCCCTGTGAATCTGTCCACACAAGGAACTGCGACGTGCCTTTGCTCAGCATATGTCCGACAGCGAGGGTGGCGGGCCGGACGAGCTCGGCTTCGGTTGCTTCCATGAGCACACGCTGGAGTTTTGGCATGACAGCAGCCACGAAGCCCTCAGGAAGAGGTTCGGAACCAAATTCTGCAAGTGCATTGACAAGCTCCGCAGCGAGGTTGGTCAAAGCGGACTCTTGTGTCATATTCGCAATGTCGAAGGCCCCGGTGAGCGATGGCAGAGTTTTCGTACACAGGCGTACATAGTGGTCCGGTCCGTGGGACACAACCGACGACACAATGCCTTCAAACGCTTCTGTAAGAAGAGTGAACAGTTGGAAATTAGACGCTCCATCCGAGGCCAGAGTGAAGAACAAATCGATCGCATTGCCATCAGTGATGGCGCTAGTGTCAAGCATTATGGTATCACGTAATGTCTGAATCAGGGCGGCTTTGACATCATCAGCGTCCTCCAGTTCATCCCGAAGGTCATGTGAGGAAATGAACTCGCTGAGGGCATCGAAGATTGCACCTTGCATGGGTCGTGTCACATGTTGTGGAAGGGCCTGAATGTAGTCTGGAATGACGTTGAGGCAGGCAACTTTGACAACATCAGAGGGGTCAGCGGTAGCAGCATTGATGGTGTTTGAGAAAGCAGCTGCTCCAGCGGAAAAGAAGTCATCCCCAGCAACCTTGAAGAGACTGGCGAGGATGAGCTGGGCGGCGGCTCGCATGAAGCACTGAGAATCTTGCAGGACACTGGACACTTGTTCGAGGATGGCCGAGGCAGTAGATGGGTCCAGTTTCCCTGATACGTCGTCGACGTCTCTCAGGCATTGGTTTAGGAGGTAGAGGAGTGCTTCACGTTCCTTCCAGCCTGTCGTCTGTGAGGTGAGTGTCACTTGGTTGAAATGTAGCATAGCTAAGATTGGAACTTGTTTCAACCACTCTCCCAGGCTTCGTACTGCCAGTTCGGCGCACGCAGCCCTAGGCGTGTAGTTAGCAGTGAGAGAGGTTGCTTCACACAAGTAAAGATTCGCGTCGAACTCCCAGAGACCTTCCTCTTCCTGCGGAATTCTGGCGTATAACATCAGAACCCGGACCAGCTCTTGCAGCCATGGAACTGTATGCTGGGCGTCACCAAGTTGTTTCATCTGAGTAGTAAGCTCTGTCCGCACTGGCGGCGCTTTGATGATAATTTGAAGGAAGTCAATCTCCTCGAGGACCAAGGCATCCAGGCTACAGGGCAGGTTGTCACTATCGACCAACTTCCCATCTGCACTGCCTTCGATAAAGAGTTCGGCGTATGGTTCGGCAATCCTTGATAGTTCCTCCCAAACAATTTGGAATAACATCACCGCGTGGGGCGAGATGGCATGGACGTAGACCTGTCTGAGCTTGTCAAGAGTCTACACTTCGGTCAGCTTTGCACGGGTTCAATCCGGACCATATCGACTGTACCTTCAGCACCTGCACCTTCAATGCCACAAGTCCCCTTAATTGGATGTCTTTTTGGTCTACAACGGTCTTGTCCGCTTGTGACAGTGGCTGTCTGATGGTCTCCATGAAAAAGGGCATCCACACCTTCATGGATTCGTCCAAGAATGCTCTGACAGCGGCTCCATGATCGGCCATGACCATCTCCAGCATCTCAAAACATGCGCGGAAGACATTCAAGGTCATGGCCCGCACGATCAAACTCCGGCTGTTGTCAAGAGCAACATGTTGCAAAGCACCCACCAGATCGCGCGCGACCAGGAAAAATTGTTCCTCTGTCAAGCCTGAGTCAACCAACTCTGCAAGAACACGAAGAGCCCCCTGAATGGGTTGATCGCTCGTTGACGTATTCAAGATGGTGAGAAGCGAAGGGAACAATGAAGGCCATGCATCCGGAAAGTCAACGGTCGCTATTCTGCTCACCACGCCGGCGGCAAGCGCTTGGATTCGTGGGTCCTTGGGGGCCTGATCACCCTCAACTGTACAGAGCCCGAAGACCTGATCTCGGACTTTGGCTTTGGCCCCATCGTCCAGGTACACACTGCCTGTGAAGGTCTCATCAAACTGCGGTGACCAAGTCGCAAGCACATAGTTCTTCAAGGCGGTCAACGCAGCCTGGCGAGCACTAGACTCGATGTCATTATGCGAGGCGATGGTCAGAAGGGCAAAGGGAAATTCTGGTTGCGGATAGAGGCGGAGGAGACCCTGTTCAGCATCTCTAATGATGGCAGTGTCCGGCCGGGTCGTTGCCTGAAGCAGGTCAAGGACTTGTTGCTCCATCGTTGGTTGGTTGGAGTCCAACAGACGAGGCTGGCCCAGGGGTAAGAATGGGACTAGTCTCTGGTAGAGCACAGGCCTAAAGGGGAGCAGATATCATCAAGTTCGTGGCCAGAAGAAGGAATGTGAGTCCGGCGCCAGGCTCGTGTGACTGTTCAACCAAAAGTCTATAACAAGATGCACGCTCAGAAACGCCAGACAACGAACGGGTATGAGGTTAAGCGACGTGGGACTTGAAGTGGTTTGATAGAGGTAGTCGAAACAACAGAAACTCAAGTGATTGACCCTGAAACAACGCCGAACAAGTCGCGGTACAAGAAAGCCGCCGATCACGTGTTGTCGCGACGCGTCGGACGGCTTAAGTTTAACATCTGCGCAATTAGCAGTGCTAGTTTGTCTCTTTTTCGCGGCAGGCAGGTTTGGCGAGACGCAATATGACCCACACCTTAACCACCTCCGAGTTCCACCGCAGCCACCATCACTTCTTGCGAAAGGTTCATGCTCATTATCGAACTGAGAGTCATCTGTCAATGGCACTGCGACCCTCCGAGTTCACCTTCACCGAGGACCGTCTTAGAGAGATCTGGCGCGACCCGGAAAACCTCCGACGGAGAAGTCAATATGAGAACTATGGACTCGTCGACCATGAATCTGAACACGGCCTTCCAGACCCGAGAGTGGCACGCAAGTTATGCATGAGTTTCTATAAAGATGTGGAAGACCCTTTGATGCATTGGGCACGCTTAGATGCAAGCTACAGTGCCATGTGCCGGCCCCCAAATTTGGGAAAAGCAGCAGCCATGGAAGCCCAGGCAAGACATTGTTTCTCTTTTGTCGCCCAGCCACTGACATGACATACTCGCCTATGGAGCCGAGCCGGACTGATAGTTCCAGCGACTAGATTATCGCAAGGACTATCGAGATTCTCGGCCAACAACCCGTTACTTCTCCCAGCATCTTGGAAGCCCTACCGTCCGGGAAAATACTCGGAAGTGGCTATATGCTGCCCAGCCATGGCGCAGTGGTTACTGGCCACGTGGTGCCAGATCCTGTCTGGGACCGATTGGTAGTTACAAACTTCGTCAACACCGCTGTGCTTCGTCTGGTGCTATGCATTGCGCAGGCGCAGCTGTCAAGAGAGTATGGTCCGGCGTCCATCGTACGGTTGTTGAATGGCACCATCCAACTCCTCAGAGTGAGCCTCGACCTCGCCACTGAAAGCGGAACCAGCGATGAGAAATGGACGGTAGTGTGTGCTTTTCTCTGGACGTCCTGGTCCCGGCTTTTGCTCCTCTTACTCGGCCCGATGATGGGCAGGCAGCTTGAAGGGTTTGATTACAATGTCCGGGGGTTAGGCTCGATACGACTTTTGGATGTTGTCCCGGAGATTGTCGATTGTCGCCGTCGGCTACAGCAGAGGGAACTACAAGCCACTCCCTATCTCTGTGCCTGGGCTTATCGCAACCTCGTCGATGACCGAGCATGCATCTCGACCGATCTCCGGTATTTTCATCAAGTGTACCATGCTTGCTTTGGCACGAGACCGGCAATATGCAACCAGGGAGCTAATCAATGCGATGGCCTTTCTTCCATCTCCTGTGCTCGGTTCGAGCACACACCAGTGCACAATCAGTCGTCTCATGCCTCAGGATGCAAGGGGGACTGCCAACGGCTCTTTTGGATTAGGAAGTCTTTTGTCGCCGTATCAGGTCCCAAGGCAGTTGATTTAGCTGCCACAAATGCCATGGGCCTACGTTACTGCCAGTCAACAGAGGATACCTTGACCATATCCCACGTCTGGAGCCACGGTCAAGGCGGCAGGCCCGATGCTGGCGGCGAAGAAGGCACAGGCTTCAACTCATGCTTGCACCGCCGATATTCTGCCTTGGCCTCGTCACTGGGATGCTCATCGTACTGGATAGACACCGCTGCAATTCCCAGCGAGAAAGCTCTGCGGCGGGAATGCATAACAAATATCAACCAGATATTTTCGACAAGCAAGACCACTGTTGTCTGTGACAGGGACATTATGAGTGTCGATATTTCCAGAATCACTGTCGAGGCTTGCGAGCAGATCCTGGCAGCCCTTCTTGTATGTGATTGGAATATGAGGGCATGGACCCTACTCGAGGCAATGACAGGCCGGCGCTCCCTCCACCTGCTGTGTCGTGACGACAAATTGATCAGTATCAAAGAAGTTCTGCAGACCGTCTATACTTCTGGGCGAATCGATCTAGTGATACCGTACATGATGCGCTCCTATCTCCTGCCCCCGGACGATATCACTGACATAGAACTATTCGACGGCGGTGGCTCCGTCGCGACAGAAGAAGACTGCCAACTTGCCGAAGGCTTCATCAGTATCGGCGAGGCCGCCGTCCTTCTGAGCCATAGGCACGCCACTCGCGATGACGACGATTTGATTATATGGAATATCCTCATCGGCGATGATGGAAGCTATGATGCTGCCGAGATGTGGATGCGGCAGATAGGCAAGAGGATACCGTCTGGAGCGTTGGTTTCAAGTGCGCCCAGACTCCAGAATGTACAGGGCTTTCACTGGGCTCCTAGTCGTCCGACAATGTCTCGAAGGACGAAAGGTATCTCGCCGCACGACAAAACTTTTCCTGCTCTTGACAGTGTCGACTCCAAGGATGGATACATTACGGCTGAAGGTCTACGTGCCAAGTGGCTCACCTTCAAGTTCGATACTGCTCTGCTCACGCATCGGAAGGATACACCCTTTGATGTAATCACCTTGAAGCCCTTGGCGGAGGTTGTCGGTCGTTATCTCGAGCTTCTTCCTTGGGGCATTCTGCTACAGGTCTGTCCGGCAAGGGGTCCTGCAAATGTCCCTATTACGTACCAGGGATCTAGCAATCATCTACTAGTCGTCTGCGGCTCGCAAGACGGGGAACACTGGGAATGGAAGGGTATATACGAATGGGACCGGCACGTTCAACTGCCTGAATTCACTCTGGGAGATATACTGCTTGTTTAGTCCCCAATGGCAATTCCAAGCACAATCGGGAGTTCTGAGTTCAAGGTAACTTAAGACTACAAAAGACCTCGCAGCTTCCCTGCTTGGCAGCTGTGGCAGCGGCCAACTTGACAGCAAGGTTAGGGAACTCGACCAATCACCCCGGACTGCGAAGTGACCAGGTCGTTTTCCAAGCGATGTTTCCCGTGATCCCCTGTCAGGTCACGAAGTCTTATCTGAGGAGAGCATGTTGGACCCGAACAGGTCCACATAGAGTCCAGCTTGACTCAGCACAAGAACTGCTAACCATCATCCGGAACAGGGGTATAGTGAACATCTTTCTGAACTTCGCACCCGACTGAACTTTTTCCGCAGAGGGTTGACACTGTCTCAGGCGACGATTCCGATATCATGTTTCCCACACACCGACAGTGGCTCAGTTAACCTTACACACCTAGGCTTTGCAGCATGAACCACTGTGCCAGCCTTAGCAGGTCGTGGTCGAATCTCACCTAGGTAGCAGATCAGCAGGCCGACTGGACTGCTAAGTGTAGGGCCCGGCATGGACTCGTACTTTTAAGACGTCGAAATACATTTGCTCCGGTGCGTTTATCAAGCAAACGCCCCCAAGACGCATTCCGAAGGATGTCGAATCGTTCAAGCGTCGCTTGATGGTCACAGGGTCAAGGAGAGTCCAGTTACAGTATGTCTCATTCAGTCCTCATCCATTGATTCCCAGTCCTGCCCGCCTGCGGCAGTTTGAACACCGCCTTCCTCACCAGCCTCGTCCTCATCATCGTCACTTTCATCGTCACCGTCGTCCTTGATGCCCACAAGCCGTTCCTTCCCCGTCGTTTCGGGCAATTTGACCTTGCCGGCAAAGACGTTCCTCACGCTTGGGTTAGTGCTGATATCCCAGACCTGCAGCTGACCCTTGCTTCCCGCGACGGCGAGTCTGAAAGCGACTTCAGGGTCTGGAGCGAACTGAACGGAGAAAACACGGCCGACATCGAGGTTTCTCGAGACCACCATGCTCGGCTTGTTGTCCTCCACGTTCCACAGCTTAACCTTCTTGTCGTCGGAGCCAGTTGCGAGGAGGCCCGGAACAGTAGGGTTAATGTCAAAGGCGCTCACAGCGCCGTCGTGGGCTTGTAACGTCCAGACGGGCTTGCTCGGTGTGTCGTGGGAGGTGGGCACAACCCTGGCGTCGAAGTAGTGCACTGTGCCACCTTCTGTGGTCACATAGAAGAAGTTGGGGTCATGGACGTCCCATTTCACTTTCTCCACGTCTGCCTCGACGATCCATCTAGGAGCCACGGCATCCGGGGCGCGCATGTCAGTGGCGACGACATTGCGGTCGTAGCTGCCGCTCAACAGCACCGTGGTCTCAGTCGGGTGCCAATCCAGGGCGCACACTTTGCCGGAATGCATGTTGTACGACTTTGCGCATTTGCCGGTGTTCAGATCCCACAGTTTGACGGTCTTGTCGGCCGAGGCCGATGCGAGCAGATTTCGGTGGTGTCGGTTGGCGGCCAGAGCGAGAACAGCGTCGACGTGGTATTCATCGTTGGCCTTTGACTTCTTTTTCTTCTTTTTGGACTTCTTCTTCGACTCGTCCTGCTCCTCAGCCGCTGGCTCTTGGCCCAGAATGGCGTTGGGGTACATGCTGTCCACGACGTCCAGGTCCCAGACTTCGATCTCTGGGCTCATGGTCCCGACCGCGACAAAGTTGCCCTCGGTCCGCCCAGAGTTGTCTCCCACTGGGAAGTTGATCCATTCGACGCAAAGCGGTACCGCGGGCAGCATAATGTCGTGATGGACATATAGGTTGTCTGCCTCGTCTTCGTACACGAATACTTCCAGATGTGCCACCTCGTCCTCCACCTTGGCCGCCAGAATCAGATTGTCCGACGGCAGTATTTGAAGTTCTTCTCTTTCGTCGTCCGAATCCTGTTCTCCTTCTGGCAGGACGAGATACGGATCCTTTTCGTGAGGTGCGTGATACGCCAACGATCCTACGTTGCCAAACATGGCGAACTTTTCGCCTTTTTCGTCTACCTCCTCGTTGTCGTAGTCGTCTAGATTGTATTCTTTGAGATCGTCCATCTCGTCCTCGGCCGCAGGCTTGCTTGAAGACTGCGTCTCTCCGGCCCCAGTAGGCACACCGGTGTCTGAGTCTGAATCGGCCGACTCATCATCGTCGTGATCGGACTTCTTGGGGTTCTGAGCATTCTCGAGATCTTCCTGCGCATCCTCTAGTTGCAGTCGAGCGAGTTTGGAGATGCGGTTGAGTTCCGCCTCGTTGACCTCGTATTTGGTTGGGAATTGGGCGGCAACTCCCCTCCTCACCCACGTGGTTGCCAGTGTCATCGACATTTTGAAGCTGCGATACCGGATGCAAGAATGTTGTTGCACACTGGCAAGTGCTGAGATTGTTTGGATTGAATCGCCTGAAAAAAGGCGGCAGAATCATTGCCAACTTTTGGGCGGTGAGAGGGGAAGTCCCCAAAATTTCTCGACTTTCCAACGAGGCTGCGCCCCACCAACAAGGCTGAACCTTGGCGGCCGCGGCGGTCGGAGAAACGAGCTCAAGACCCCGTAGACCCCGATGATAAGACTCCCATCTCGCTGTCGTTGTTACTTCCAGTTCAACCACGACCAACTTAACGCTGCTGATCGAGCTCCAAAGAAACACATGTGGGCGTGGCTTGAGCCGCATGATCAGTACTGGAGACGAGTCTCCACAAAGATGCATTCTCATCTACACACAAAGGACAATGTCGGTATGTGGCGATCGAGGGTTCCGCTCCGAGATACTCTGCATGACATGGATTCTCGCTTTGCGTGGTGGAGTGACTGTCACGCTGGAATCTGTGGCTCGTGGGGCCATTTCTGTTGCGCTCGAGCATACTGCGAATGCCATTAGGAGTACTAATATGCTGACATTCCCTCTTACGCTGCAGGGTGCGAGGAGATTATGAACGCACTCGACGAATGCCACGCTCGAGGATTTCTCTACAAGGCTTCGGGCGGCTGCAACGAGATCAAACGAGAAGTGAACAAGTGCCTGTCAGGCGAGCGGACCAAGAAGAGCAAGCGCAACCGTGAGACTGGACTCGAGCGCCGCGCCCGGATCGAAGCAGTGTGGGCAAAGATGGACGAGGGAGATTATTCGGCCCTGGAGCGGTTCACCAAGCGAAACTAAAGTCAAATGCAATGGCGGTGGGTGAAGAAGGAGGAAGAGGAGGGCATCTGCTGGCGCTGGCATTGGTGGTTCGGGAAACGGTTCATGGAGCATCCCTTCGGCGTTTTGTTTATTACTTGTCGAGGGAGACAAAGAAAAAAGAAATTGTATACTCATATGAGACGGACAAAAGGCAAAATGTACAGCTGCATATCTCCTCTCAATACGATGAATGGTTTGACCGTGACGGAACGCTGGTGCATCCAGCTCTATCAATTGGCTCGCGGTGCTCATTGTGAACTGAGGTGACCTTTATGTTCCGTGGTGACTCTCGAAGCAGATTCTCCCTCAAGCGAACTGGAGTGAATCCCAGAAGTGACTGAAGCTCCGATTCATCCATACCTACCTACCTACCTAGGCGCCCTGCACGATGCACCGCAGCAGACTCCGAAGGTGAGAGGCACGAGACCTTCAGGTGCCATTAAATGGCGCGATGCTTCGCATGAAAGAAATTAGCGTGGCATTAACCCACCCAAAATGTCTAAAGCGGCGTAGATACTTGCAAGATTGGGCGAATGCTGCGTGTACCTGACATGCACTAGTGGAACAGTCTGCGGATGCAATGCAAATGCCCTGTCAATAGTTACAGTATAGTATACGTTGTATGGCTGTGGTTGGATCGTTGTCAGAAGAACAAAGAGTCAGCACCATGGGCCATGCGCGCCGGAACCACTAATTTGGCTTTTGTAAGACCGTTGTGTTCCATCTATATTGGCAGTTCTTTGTTACGGATCTATGCAACCCGTCACCGCCCCCGAGTGCTCTCCTTTCAGCTGGCTTTGAGACGCATGTCTCATGCCGAGCACCCTACGCATGCATTATGACCGGCGGAAACGATCAGCAGCAGAAACCGAGTCTCAAAGACTCGACTACAGAGCCGGTATCCAGCAGTAATTCTCTTCCACCAGCGCATTCAGATGCGCCGCCCGAACTCGACGAGTTCGGGTTGCCCAAAAGACCCGTGAGCAGACCCCGTCCTCCGGAGTCGGATGACAGCGAGGACGAGGGGGACACTTTTCACGATGCCGAAGGGTTCGATGACAACAAAGCAGCACAAGAGAAAGGGGAGCCAGGGCATGAACGCTCGACAATTGAGTGCAATGGCGAGGTTGTGAGCAGGGATACGGAAAGCAAGGGGTCCAGTGGAGTGGGAATCGCGCCTGCAGACGCAGCATCACCCAATTGCTCGCCCGATGGTGAGGAAAAGCGTGCGGACGAGACGGCCGCTGTGAACGATGCAACGGCCAATACAAAGTCATTCAAAGCACCCGATAAGCCGGCCGAAGGTTCAAGCCCCGATGAGCCCGCGCCAGCTAGCACGGAACCTGAGTCCTCTTACAAGAAGGCCGCCGTTCCTCAAGACTCGCAACTATCCTCTGCTACCGTAATACCGAAACGTGAGCACCCGACAACGGCTCCTGCAGTCTCCGAATGGTCACACCAGAAACAAGTTAGGGGTGCTCAGCAGGCCGACGGTGTCGACGAGGATGATGAAGAGGAAGACTGGCAGGCGATGCCCGCCTTGGATGAGTTTGATGTCTACGATGACAACGGTCGGCTTGTGGTCAGGGGCAACAAGGCCACGGAAGAAGAGATGAACCCATATGCCGGGATTGGAGGGGCAGGAAAAGGGTATACGAGGGTACAGCTCGACGAGGACGTGCACTCTGTCACCAGTCTGGATGATGACACCAGTTATTTGTTCCAAAATGGCCAGAAATCAGCTTGTCAGGACGATACACGCCATGACGAAGAAGAAGAGCAGAGGGACGCGGACACCCAGTTGAAAGCTACAAAGGATTTGCTGACCGAAGGCCAGCGCATAGCGTACGTCGGTGTAGTTCGCCTAACTATCCACAAGATGTCCGAAGCACTGGCCTCCCTGGAGAAGACCAAGGGTGCAAAAAAAGAAATCCTGAAGGCTGTGGAAAGTATGGATATGTGGGGACAGAAAATGATGGTTCGTCTCTATACCCACATGGACATCAACCCTGCAGAGCAAGTCATGATCGAGCAGCTGGCCGAACACGGAGTCCAGCCGTCCGACCTCGTCAGTCCCTTGATGGTCAATGCGAACGTCAAGAATCCTATGGCGACCGACAAATCAACCGACAGTCCAAGGCCAGAAGTCACGCGGAATAGGGACTCGACGACTTCTCATTCGTCCCTCAAGAGCACCGATGAGACAGCAAAGGAAGATGAGGGTGGTGAAAAGGTCCCTGAAGTACACGGCCCTCAAGATATGCCCCATACTAAACAAATTGAACTTGATCTTCGATGGACCGTCCTTTGCGACCTATTTCTGGTTTTAATATCCGACAGTGTATACGATGCTCGATCAAGGCGACTACTTGAAAGAGTGGGCTCGACTATGAACATTAGCTGGACTCAAATCTGTCGTTTTGAGAAGAGAGTCATTGATGCCTTGGAGATGCAAGAAAGCGAAACGCAGGAAAACTGGGATGAATCTGAAAACATGGAGAAACGCCGCAAATTGGGCCTGAAACGCAGATACATGGTTATGGGTCTTGCGACCGTTGGTGGTGGTTTGGTCATTGGGCTCTCGGCGGGCTTGTTGGCCCCCGTCATTGGAGCGGGCCTCGCCGCCGGCTTCACCACCATTGGTGTCGGAGGCACCGCAGGCTTTTTGAGCGGAGTTGGTGGAGCTGCCCTGATCACTTCCGCGGCCACGGCTGCTGGTGGTACCATCGCTGTGCGCGCATCTGACCGGCGGACCGGCCACGTGAAGACCTTTGAGTATCGACCTCTTCACAATAACAAGCGACTTAATCTGATTTTGACCGTCTCTGGTTGGATGAATGGCAAGGTGGACGATGTACGATTGCCCTACAGTACCATCGACCCTATAATGGGCGATATTTATTCCTTACTGTGGGAACCGGAAATGCTTCAGTCGATGGGTGACACGATCAACATCCTCGCCACTGAGGCGCTGACACAGACAGTGCAGCAGGTGCTGGGAAGTACTATTTTGGTGGCGCTTATGGCGTCGATTCAACTCCCGGTCGTCTTGACCAAACTGGCTTACCTGATTGACAATCCTTGGAGTGTTTCTTTGGATAGAGCGAACGCGGCAGGTCTTATCTTGGCGGATTCGCTCATGGACAGACACTTGGGTCAGCGGCCCATTACCCTGGTCGGATTCTCATTAGGGGCGAGGGTCATATTTTCCTGTCTCAAGGAATTGTCCGCCAGAGGCGCCTACGGTTTGGTACAGAACGTCTATCTATTTGGGTCCCCGGTTGTCGTCAAAAAGGACGATTACTTGCGTGCCCGGTCCGTCGTTTCTGGCCGATTTCTCAATGGCTATGCATCCAACGACTGGATTTTGGGTTATCTGTTTCGAGCCACGTCTGGGGGCATCATGCGTGTCGCAGGCTTGGCCCCTGTGGAAGGCGTACCAGGCGTCGAAAACATTGACGTGAGTAAACTGGTGAATGGTCACATGGCCTATCGTGCTGCTATGCCTCGACTGATGCGAGAAGTCGGTTGGGAGGTGGAGAGCGACGAGTTTACGGAAATCGAGGATCCTGATCCTGAGAATCATGCCAAGCGACAGCGCGAGCTTATCATTGAAATCGATGAGGCACGGAAGAAAGCTGAGGAAAAGCCTGAGAAGAAACGGTTTGGGCTCTTCAAAAGGGGCAAGATGGCAGAAAAGCGAGGCTGGGAAACATATACCCCAAATGACACCGCACACGCGCGCAACAGTAGTACAACCAAGGACTCTGCCGCCCCTGGGGACAGTAATGTGCTGTTTGACATTGATGCGATTCGAAAAGAGCTCGAGAGCGAAATGATCGAAGTGAGGGAACTGGACAGCACGTTGCCGCCCATGCAGATCACCTCTATACAGAACGGAGAAAAGCATGTCGAGTTTCTTCGTCTTCCTCCAGACATGAAGCCCGAGGAAGTGGCCAGGATGAATCTCCCGCCGAGACCAGACGAAATCGATGTCGAGTTTCCCCCGGCGCGACCTGCTCCGGCGCGTCCGTCCAGGACGTCCTCTCTCAGGCCCGAGTCAGTAGCAAGTCCACGGGTCAGTCCAGGTGTGAGTCCACAGAGGTCAACGCACGCTTCTCCCGACCTGAGTCGACGCTCGTCTTACGCGCTTTCGGAGCCGAAGGAACTAGTGAGCACTTTGCCGCCCCTGAATTTGACTCCTTCGCCTTCTCCAGGGATTGAAAGCTATAATACATCCAGCAATGTGCGACCCGAACTGAGGCCGCACGTGACCGAGCCTCCATTGTCGAGCTGGAATCGTCCTGCTGCCACGTCTGATGATGATGTTGCCAACAAGATGTCAAGCTTGGACATAGAGCGCAACGCCTGGGCAGAGGACGATGACCTAGGCCGGGGGCATTCCGAGATCAAAATGACATTCGAATAATAAACCTTTGAGGCGGACGGTTTTGATGTTTCCACTAACTGCATAGCGAGGCGCAAGAATGGTGAGTTTGCGGCTATTGTTGCCAACAGCATATATCAAACATGTATGGCACGAGTGAAGCTGGGGATCTAGCGACTGACCATTGTCCAACGCGGCGGATAGCGCAATGGCTGGTTTTCACCTGCCACGAAATAATCAGTTCGATACCTAATCGACAGCCCTCATTCGTTCCTCGAGAGCTTGCCTTACCATTGAGCGTCACTCTGCTCGGTTTCTTCTTCTATTCCGGGAATTCACTTGTCTGGTGCCCGTTGTAATCTACTTACCTGGCAGTCCTGTTGTAGGCCTGTCGCCCTCAAGAATGAGACGTGTTGTCACAACCTCTCGTCTTCTCTGGTATGGAGCAGCAGCTGAGACTGGTCTGGCAGCGCATTGACTGCCACAGAGTCTTCCGGGCAGCCCGCAGTTCTAGCGCCTTTCGAGTGCCCTGATTAAACTACTGCCAGCTGTTTTACTAAGGCAGAGACTGTACTGACTTGAATAGTGAAGCCCGAGAGGCAGTCTTGCCTTGCCTTGCTTTCTTTGTTCGATCCTTGGAGCAGTGCTAGACAAGGCTGAACAGCCCTTTGTGCTTCATTTATCCAACTGCCCTCATTTCTATTCCTGCCTCATGAACAATGTCTCTTTGTTTGACTCTGCCTCATAGGGCAGTGTTATCGAACGATCCGACTTCCATAAAGATGTTCTTTTCTTCTGGCCTCTGCTCTTGGAATTTTCTCCCAACCAGGACACTCGTGGAGCACAACTCCAAACCTCATCAAAGCCCAGGTACGTGGGCGAGCCCCCTTTACTGACGCAGCATGGACAGTCCCGATGGTGACGGAGATGGCAACCAGCTGGTCTGGACCATCTTCATGGCTTTCGTTGCTCTGCTCCAACATCCCAATTTCCCGTTCGTCTTCCTATTCGTCTTTCGGTACTTGCGACTCATCGTCCACATTGTCTCGTTCTGGCTCTACAAGTCTTCCCCTGTCCTGCAAGGCAACTTTGGCAGCGAGAAACAATGTACGGTAATCATCCCAACGGTGGACCCGCAAAACGCAGACTTTCACAAATGCCTGCTCTCGATCATCGAGTGCGGGCCTCTTGAAATCCATATTGTCACGGTAGGAAGACGTTTGAAGAAACTGACCAAGCAGATGCTCAGACCCTTTCAGGCAGCATATCCCGGGATCGGATTCCTGGTTTCATCGACGAATGTAGCGGACAAGCGTCAACAGGTTGCACATGCCGTACCACACGTCCGAACCCCGTTCACGTTCCTGGTTGACGACCATGTGATCTGGCCATCTACAAACTTCCTGCGCACTGCCATTGCTCCCTTTGAACACGACATCCGAGTTGGCGGTGTAGGCACGAACAAGCGGGTCCGTCGAGAAACACATAACGGGGTTTTCGGCTTCTTTCACGCATTCTGGAACGTCATGGGCGCACTTTACCTCGAGCGACACAATTTCGAGATCCGGGCGACCAACAGCATCGACGGCGGCGTCTTTGTGATTTCCGGAAGAACCTGTGCGTACCGCACCGCTATCCTTCAAGACCCGGCCTTTTTGGCAGGATATACCAACGAGCGCTTCCTTTTCGGTCTTTTTGGGCCCCTGAACGCCGACGACGACAACTTCATCACCCGCTGGCTCGTGACCAATGGCTGGAAGATCAAGATCCAGTACTGCCAGGACGCCATTATCGAAACATCAGTGGGCACGTTTCCGAAATTCTTATCCCAATGTCTTCGATGGTCGCGCACCACTTGGCGCAGCAACACTTGTTCGTTGCTCACTGACCGCACCATCTACCGCGCTCAACCTTGGTGCGTGTATGCGGTGTATCTGACATCGTTAGTCAACTTTGCCCTATTCTACGACGCAGCACTGGTCTATACATTCAGTCGTACCGACTTCTACAGCTACAAGCCCCAGACGCTGAAGTGGCTTGGAGCCTGGATTCTCGGCAGTAAGTTGGTCAAACTGGTTCCTTATTTTCTTCGCCACCCTTTGGACCTTGTCTATCTGCCTGGGTATTTCGCCTTTGCTTACTTCCACGGCTTCATCAAGCTTTATGCTGGATTGACCTTTTGGGTTACGGCCTGGGGAGGTCGCGATTTGGACAAGGTAAATGACGACCAAGGCGGCAGCAGCGATGACAGTGACGATGATGATGACGACTACAGATCCAATTCAACTACTCCCGTACCTCGCTCGCGCTCGCTGACTCCTGATCCGTCTTGGGACTTGGACGATAGTGGAAACCAAGCAGACCAAGGAGATCCATTGACATCGTTATTCTCACCCCAATCGTCAAACGACTCGTCTTACTACACTGCTCGGAACAAGCGCTACGCAGCTGAAGCCAGAAAAGGTCCTAGTACTCCAGCAGGAAAAGCCACTGCGGTCCAGACTCCATGGGGTCTCGTAACACCCGGAACCAACAATCCCCGCCATCTCACCCCCGTGAATGTCCTCATGACCCAACTCCCCGGTACGGAGTGGCCTCGCACCTGGGAATACACATCCCGTCAAAGCCACGGTGAGTACTATGGACCGGCACGTCGGGATTCCGAGACAAATTCTTCCGTCATCTACATGGGCCAAGCGGAGAGACAGCTACAGAATGAACTCGCAATAGTCCCTTCGATCGAAGTTGACGATTACGTCGACTATCAAAATAACAACCGCCAGGTTCAACCTCAACAACTGCTCACTCCTCCCACAGTGACTCCGGCAGCGGCAACCCAGGGCCAGCGCCAGGCCAGCAGCAACATCGACATTGACGATCTGGACCTCGATGGTGACGGTGATGTCTTTATGGACAACAATGCTGCACGCGACGCCGAAGGTGATTTGCAAATGTACGACCTCCGCAGTCGCAGCCGGACCCCTCAACCTCGCGATAAGAGTGTCAGCATCCTGAGTGATAGTGAGTACTATGGCTCCCCCGTTTCCACGGGCACTTTATCCACAAAGTCCTCGCCCTCGCCGTCTTCTGGCACACCACCGGCTGAGCAAACTGCAAACAAATACGAATACTCTCGGACTTGGGTTAGAGGCTCTTCCGAAACGTGTGGTCGGCTCCATTACGATGGTGACAATCTGGTTCGCAGACGAAATCATTGTGATTTACAGGATGAGCGCTTTACTTATTGGACTTAGGTGAACTGGCTCAGATCGATCTTCTGAGTGAACGAACGACCGGCAAGCCAGCATCAGCACCAGGATGTAATTCCGGGGTCGTCGTTGCACTACGGCATGGTCAATACTTCAACTATGGTAGGTGAGAGGTAAGTTTCCTTGCGGTGAGAAACGGTGAGTGGAGATAGACTTCACTGGAGTGATAGATATGCCCTTGTGGGCATAGAGATTGTCATATTAGCATGGCATTAGAATTGTACGATTACGAATGGATACTCGGATTGCTTTTGGTATTTTATATTTACTTGTATTGTACGAGCGGGGAGATTCGATCGTGTTAGCATGATTGATCAATAAAATTGAACTTGGTAAAAATATTACCATGTTGCCCACATTCACGAGAGCAATGCCCTGTTACCATTGCCTTTGTTACAATAAATGAATGGGACACAATACAATGTCATGCTGGACTTGAAAGAACGCTCTCAAGTACCCCTCCACTTGCACCCATCACTGATGGGATTTAAAGTCAGAGCTGCACGTCTTTACTGTAAATGTTTTATGTACAAGGCAGTCGCTGGGGGTCCCAGTAGTCCATGCCGCACGTACAGGACACTCTAGAAGCGTCGTGATTATGTATGTGTGTGCTGTGTAGCAGGCGCCAGTCTGTCGGAGCTCGGTAAGACACGTCCATAGACATGAGCTTTCGCGACAACCTCGACAGGGATGTTCCACATCAGAGACTGACTCCCGAGGACTGTCTTCTAATTCGGACCCCGAGTTAATGACTAGAGTAGGATGCAGATGATTCCGCCATCCAAAGACCGTACCTACGCACAAGGCTCTGACGCACTGGGAGCGGCCCCGGCTCTGGCACGGGGATGTAAACGCGGGCAGATCTCGCTGATCGAGATTACAGGGCGCCAGTAAAGACCAGAGGCCAACTATCTTGCCGAAATGGCAGCCATCCACTTCTGCTCGTCCTTCCTGTTGAACATCGTCAGTCCACATCGAAGGCGAAGCAATGGGGAACGAAATGCAGAAGACTTACCGGTCGAAATGCAACAACATCCCCAATACTGGAATCAACTGTTTCTGGTGGCCCTTGTCCTTCTGCTCCAGAAATTGCAGAAGAACGTTCTTCAGATACACGTAGTCGACCGTTCCTTGACTCAGACCCGTGGCGGTACTAGTGGGCGTATCGCTCCGGCTCGTCGTTGTCGACAAACCACGCTCTTTGGGGGCAGGAGACTTTGCGCTCGAAGAATCGATCGACGTCCTCGAACTCGGCACCCCGGACTCCAACCCCGGACCTGGCCGACCGGCCATGGGCCCTCTGTAATTCCTCGCGCCCGACTGTGCCGCCTTGAGCTCTTCCGTGAGATTCTTATTAGCCTTTGTCAATTTCTCGACACGCTCCCTTGCCTCGTCGGCCACTCTTCGGAGATCTGTTTTCTGGGCATCCAGTTCGCGGACCTGCCTCTCGCTTTCGTCCAGAGCTTCGCGAAGCCCCGCCATGGCGGCCTTGACGTCTTCTACCTCCTTGGTTGCCCGGGCGGCGGCTTGCTCGAGGGCTTCTCGCCGTTTCTTCCAGTCGCGTTGCCGGTTCTCCAGTTCTTCCTTCTCATCCTGGAGCACTTTGAGCGCCCGCTGCGCCTCCCGAGCTTTGGCCTTGGCCTCTTCCACTTCACGCATCATCCGTCGATTGCTGACACTGGCTTCGTCTTCAATCCGGTCGCGTTCTTCAATGGCTGCTTCCATGCGTTCCTTCATCTCTCGGATCCTGGCCTCGGTGCCGGTTTCTGCTTGGTCCAAAAGCATTCGCATTGTTTGTCCTTCCCTGGTCCGCTCCGAGAGCATTCGTTGTGCTTCGGCCAGTTCCTCTTCAAGGCTGTCCGCTCGAGTTGTCGCTTCGCGAGCTTGCATCGTCAGTTCATGTGTCTGGTCTCTCAGTGACTGGACCAAAGACTGAGAGGACGAATGTAACGCTGTCTTCAGATTAAGCTCTTCCTTCAACTCTGCCACCTGCCGTGCATGTGCCGACAGCTGATCTTCCATGTCTCGTAGTTTGGCTTTCAAGGCTGTCGATTCCTCTTTGGCCTTGGCGAGATCCTGGGTTGCTTGATCCGCGGAGGCCGAGGCTTCTTGTCTTTTCGACTCTGCCGTGCGTAGGTCGCCCTGCGCTTTTTCCAGTTCCTTCTCTATCCGGGTTCGGCTGCTTGTCTCCTGCTCAACCTTCTGCTGCAGTTCCTTAATCTCGTTGTCTTTGTCTCCGAGTCTTTTGCCGAGTCCCTTCAATTCGGCTTTGATGTCCTCGTATCGAGCTTCAAGCCGACTCAGCTCCCCTGTCTTGTTCTTGAGGTCCTCCTTGGCCGATTTGAGCTCCGCGACCTCATTCCTCAAGCTCCTCAATTCGGGTTGAGCCTTTGAAAGCAACTCCTTCAGATCAGTGATATCCTTGTAGCGAGCCGTGGCAAGCTGCTCGGATGCGCTGAGATCCTTTTCTAGGGTAGCACATTTGCGTTTAAGTTCTTCATATTGTTGTAGTAGATCCTCGTGAGCCTTGCTCGTATCGGTAGCCGTGGCTGCTGCTCGGCGCGCTTCCTCAAGATCCTTCTCAAGGGTGTCGACAGCCTCTTGCAGCTTTTGCTTCTGCGCCTGGGCGTCTTTCAAGGCATCGCGGGCTTCGACATGCTCTTCTCCCTGGTGCAAAAGGTCATCCCTCAACGTCTCAATTTCCTCCTGCAAAGCCTCTTGATCCTTTAATTGCTGGGTGAGTCGCTCAATGGCACCCGTCTTGTTGCCTAGCTCCGCTTTCAATTCATTGATCTCTTGCTCGAGCTGGGCAATCTGCGTTTCCGATGGTTTCTCATCGGGAGCAGGGCCGTCTTCAATCTTCGATGGAGTTTCCGACACTTTAGCTGGAACAGTGGCATCAGTGTCAGGGGTTGTTGCTTGCTGACCACCCTTGCCCTTCTTCTTCTTCTTGTTCTTTTTCTTACTTGCATTGGTACCGGCCTCGGATGGGGCCGGCGAAGGCTCCGCAGTGCTTGCAAGGTTGTTGTTGCTGGTCGGTTTCTGTAGACCAAAGTTTTCAGACAGGTACCTCACCACATCCTCGCGTGAATTCAAGCTGTCGAGTTTGGCCTTAGCGCTCTCGTCCAGGAAACCGAAAATCTTGGTTGATGGTTGTTTGGAAAACTCGTCCTGTTTACGTTCGATTTCCGCTCTTAACTCTGCCACAGTCGTCTCTGCCTTGTCTAGCTGCTGCCGTAGCGTATTCATGATGTTCTGCATTGTAGCCAACTTCTTTGCGTCCGCTTGACCGTTCGCCCTTTGTTCATCTTGCTGTCGTTCTGCAGATTTATACATTGCCAGTGTATCCTCGAGATCCTTCACAGTGGCATCCTTTTGCGCCAGCTTTTCGTTCAGCAAATTGGTATCCTGAGACAGACGTGTGATTTGTTTCTCGAGATCCGCGTTGGCTGCCTCCAATTCTTTGATCTGACCCTCCAACTTCTCGACTTGATTGGAGGCATCGTCCTTTTGCGTTTCCAGTGATTTAATCTGGTCCAGAAGGTCGTCATTCTTCGCTCCCGTTTCCGCGGCTTGCACCTCCAGTTCGTCGATCTTATTTTGTAACTGGGTTTTCGTCTCCTCGAAATTGTCCTTCGCCTCCTGGAGTGTTTGGAGTTCGCGGGTAGCCGTCTCTAGACTCTGCACCATGCTTTCTGTCGATTGACGCGCCACCTTCAAATCGCCTTGCAAGCTGTCGACCTGTTTCTTCAGCTCTTCGACCTCGGTTTGACGCTCGTGCAACTCAGCTTCAACCCTGGTGTGTTCTGCGTCAAAGGAGAACAAGTCTTCCGAAGTGTCCTTACCCGAAGGCGAGGTAGCTTTTTGACGGGGCGAGAACAAGGAGAAGCTGGCGATACGAGATGATGTCGAGGCGGGCGACTTGGCGGATTGGTCCAACTCGTGAGGCACCGCTCCTGATTCTGTGAGAGCAGGATCGCTGTTTTCGGGGGCTGCATCAGCGACAGTACTATCATTTTCTGGACCAGGGGTTTCTGCATGATCGGAAGTGGTTCTGCTCTTTAGTTCGGTGATCTCGTCCCGAAGTTTGGCATTCTCTTCTTCGGAGGTCTGTAACTTCTTCTTATACTCGTCCCTGTCAGTGGTGACGCGTTTAAGTTCCTCCAAAACCATGTCACTCTTCAGGTTGATTTGGTTCAGGTACTCGACGAGAGCTCCTGGGTCGTTGATGCTGGTCAAAGGCGTATTTTCTCGTAGTGAAGCCTCGAAAGATTCCACTGCTTGTATCCTCGTATGAGCCGTCCTGTATGCCTTGAGCAATTCTGAGTATTTGGCCTCGATTCGATCCAGCTTGCGTAGCTTCGCGCGCACTTCTGCGGGCAGTTCCTGAGGACGTGGTGGAGTGGCAGCCGCATCACCATTTGCCTCTGATGGCGGCTTCTCAGCGCTGGCTTCTGGCGCTGTTCCGGTCTCTTGGCCATCTTCACTTGTCGGCGGGACCTCTTTTTCCTTTCCAGCCTCTTCATCTATCTTCTTTACATCAGGCTTGGGCGTGCCCGTCCTGCTCGGCACCGCACTCTCGTCATCCCCTATTGCGAACTCGGGTTCGAATTCGGAAGGGTCAGGGCCTTTCTCGAGCCCGGCATTGCCCTGGTCTCTCTGTCTCGAAGCCTGTCTTCGCGGTCCTTCATTTTGGCCCGGCGGGCGCCGTCGCTGGTTGTTTCGCGTCGACTGAGCACTGAGGGCCGCCTGACGTTGTCGTGCCTGTTCTTCGGCAATCCGACTGTCTATGGCGCCCTTGAGGCGCTGCATTCATCAGCCGAGTCCTCTCAATTAGCACAATGTAACCTACCTGAAACATATCCAGGGTTGCGGTATTGTCTGGGGGACTTCTACAGACATCTAAGAACAGGGCAGGGAGGAAGAAAGAGACGCGCTCCGAAGTCTCCCCAGAACTTGAACTCCGCAAATATCTTAGTTGTTAACACAGGCCACTTTACGAGGAGAGACTGAAACACCAATCACAATCGTCAATTTCCGGCCTCTAAAACTATTAAGAAATTCTCAAGACCACAACTTGAACGTGCCCAACTTTCCATCCTCTCATACCCGGACAAAAACAATAATGTCCTGCTCCTTATGCCCAGCGTTGATATAATCAGTGCCGGACATTGTTCCACTCTATGTTGTTCAGTCCAGGCTCTGCATCATGCCGCGGGACCTTATGAGAGCTACTCCAAGGTTGTAGTGCAGTCTACTAAGACTTCATATATTCATCTTTCGGTCATCGCAGCGTTATGACCTAACCCTTGCTCCCTTCTCATGCCAAATCTGGTACTCTGCTTTATGCACTTCTGCGATCAATTGCCTCAGTCACAACAGCATTTCCCCTGTGCAGTAGCCCGCCTTGACCACAGCATTTTTAACATGCTGTAACTGATTCTGCTCCTTGGATGAGGTTTCGGTATCGCGTCCACAAGGCGGAGAACAAGCTTGAATGTCCACAATTAAGCCGGAGCACTTTCTTGAACCACACACCGAAAGGTGTGCGGCGGGTGGAATGGGCTTGACTTGGATGGACTGACAGATAGGCAACATTGATCCAGGGGGTCAAGACCTCGATGCACTTCAGTGTTTTCATATCTTTTGAATAATATCCTTTCGTATCCTCTCATTTTAGAACCACGTTTGCGCCTCTTGCTGCCAGATATTGGTCGGGGGCTCCCTGTGGCAGGCTTCTGACCACGGCAAAGATTTCTCCATTGTAGTATCTCAACTTCGTCTTTGGATCCGTGTAATTTGCCGGCAATCCGGTAACATCGCAATAGTGTTTGTGATTTGCAGGATGTAAACTCGGGGCGCTCTCAATATTGGTGTAGGTCACAGCAGGACCTGCCGTACCAGCTGGGGGGCCATTGGCGGCCCTCTGCAGGTTTCGCTCTAGGACCAACGTACTCAAGCTTTGAGTCGCTTGTGCCATGTTCAAGGGTCTTGATGCGGCGGAAGAATATGCTGGAGTGGCTGCTCCATCTGTGGTTGCGCCTGTGGTAGGGATAGGCGTTGATGCGCCAGAGTTGTTCTGAGTTGCAAGGACGGAGGCTTCTTTACGCTGCGACTCGGAGATCATCTGCTTGGTGTTCTTGTTTCGGCGCGTGCTGGGCTTCCAGTTGGGGTTGCGGAAGGGTTTGGGCGTGTAATAAATGTCCATCTGATCGAGCAGTTGTTGATGGGAATCATCTGCCGGCTGGGGCGTTGAGGGAGGCATCTCGTAAATGGCAGCAGTAATTTTCGACACTAGACTTCGAGGATGATTTGCGGACGAGGCGGCACGTCGTGGGTGTTGTGCTGAGATAGTAGGGATACGGAGAGCAATATCAGGAAGTGAAGCGGACGCCGCGGTACAGGATAGACGTGCGCTTCGAAGTGACTTTGCAATAATGACTACGGGACGATACAGAGTATGTCGTTTGGGACTGTTCTAGAGGTTACGGTAGTGATGACCACAACTTTCAAAAACGACGGGCAATCCCTTCCCCGTAGCCAGCTGAGCCCGTCGCGTGAACCATCGCCTCATCCAAGTTGTTGATTTCGATCCTGTGATGGACAACTCGAAGCGCAGTCAGTCGCACGCCCGCCAGGCCAGTCACATGACCCACAGTCACGGGAACACACTTTAATGCCTGTGTCCCACAGCATTTGGTACTACAATGTACCTCGTTCTTCTGCCTGTAGTTTACTCCTACAACCTTCTCCATGCATTTCTTTGCAGACAGCAACTTCAATCTTCTGGTTGCTGCCCATATACTATGACTTGCATGGGTTGATCGGATCCGCTTTCGGCAGCTGGACACCGCCTCCGTCTCGCTGCTAAAATTTGAACAAAAATGGTGCGTGAAGAATTGATTGTCTACTTGTATTGCCGCAGCTAATCCTCCATCCCAGGCTGCTGCTACAGCCCACCCGTTCGAGCGCCGGGTCGCCGACCAACAAATCTCCAAAACGTACGTGTTCCATCGCACCGAACAGTGCTCCGCGTTGCCCTCGTTCAAGTTTCACAAGATGTATTTTTGACAAAATGGGAATCTCTCTGAAATTTCTTGAGGAGACTATGTTATTTTGCATTCTGATGGAAAATCTCGACACCTGTTCTCCCCATATCTACGGTGTCACCTCATTTGCTGACATGCACGACGCATAGTGATGTGAACAATCTGATCATGGACTATCTGATCACCGAGGGCTACCCGTCAGCTGCTGAAAAGTTTGCGAGCGAGGCCAACATCCAGCCCAAAGCGGATTTCACCTTCATCCAGGAGCGCGTCCAGATCCGGGATTCCATATATCGGGGCGATCTGCAGGCAGCTATTGAGCTCATCAACGAGCTCAACCCGGAAGTAAGTCTTTGTCCTCCCCTGTCTACTGCCCTCTTTTCCATGATTAGATTAGTTTCATGCACCACTCATAGCCTTCGGGCTAGGATGAGAGCAAAAACACCTTCAGTCCTCAGTATGATTTTTCAAACAACTCTTTCTCGTCGCTCCTCACAACTCTTTGCTCGGCATCATGTTCTAATGCTGGTCAATATAGCTCCTGGACCTGGACAAAAGACTTCATTTTTCACTTCTACGTCTTCAGCTTGTCGAGCTTATTCGACAAAGCTTCACTAATCCGGACCCTTCCCTGGTCGGTAAGGCCATCGAGTTCGCCCAGAAGAATCTCGCACCATACGCCCCCTTGGATACTCAGTTCAAAGTCGACCTTGAGCGAGCCATGGCACTTTTGATTGTCCCAAAAGAGTCTTGGAGTCAGGCTGCGTCATCGGAGTCCTCTGGGTCGACATCCCGCATCCAGAACGAGTTTGGAGCCTTGGCCGAGCTTGTTGACCCCTCATTACGGCGGAAGGTTGCCAAAGATGTGAATGAGGCGATCCTCCAGTCCCAGGACCAGAGGCGAGAAGCCAACATTCGCTATCTAGTGAGGGCTAGATCTTGGGCCGAACAACTGGCCCGAGAAAACAAGATTGATCTACCCGACAATCTGAGTATTGGTCTTGACGGGGCCCAGTCCGCTAAGGACAGCCAGCACGGACATACTGGTGACACGGAGATGTCCGGAAACGGCGCCGAGGATAGTGGCATGGGTGATGACGACGAACTGACCCGGTACACCAATGTTGCTTCTTAAAACATTCGGGGGTCTTATATGTCTGGAGAGCAGGGCTCGCATTCCAACATGACGGTATGCACGAACGATATGATACTTTGAGCGAAGGCGTTGGCGGCATGAGGGAATGCATTGATTATTACATTGAGACGACTCGAATAAAATGAATATTCCATTTTGATGGTCCATCAAATCATATTCGTTCCCAGACTCATGTTATAAACATTGTAAACCGTTGTAACCGTATATCCTCCTGCCCAGTACACCATGTCCGCGAGTCCACCAACGCCATGCTAAATAAAGACGACCAAGGACAAAAGAGTTGGGGAGCAGCTACCAGTTCCAGGTACGGCTACTGGCAGTGAAGACGGGAGGCTTCCAGTTCAGCTTGCTGGGATCTATACGCCTGGCACCTTTTTCCTTTTCCTTTTGCCTACGTTTCTCCTGCCACTCGAGCAACTCGTCTCTGACGACGATGATCCACTGACCCTTATGGTAGCGCAAGAGCTTAAGGACCTCGAGCTGTTCGTGGACATCCTTCTCGGTCATGGAGGTGAGGGAGGCGATTTCGGAAATGCTAGTCGAGTACTGTGAAGACGGGGTAGAGAAGCCCAGCGAGGCATGCGGATGGAGGTGTTCGGAGGTAGGGGTGTGGGAAGCCGATCCGGGGGGCGGCAGCCTGGCCGGGTCGGAGAGCAGTTCGACCAGCACTTCCTTCCAGTACTGTCTGTAACCCAGCAGACCGAGATCCGACAAGGGCTTTTCAGGCGATCCCAACTTGCCTTCCCGCTTGCTCAACTCGTAGGAAAACGCAATGAGCAATCTACCCAGGCCCTGGCGCTGGTACTGGGGTAAAGTCAAAATACAGGCGACGTTGTATCCCTCTGCGGATTCCTTTTCCTTGCTGAAGTAGCCGACGAGATGGCAGCCGTGCTCGTCGCGCGTGACCATGCAATAAAACAAAAACGGGTCGACGTCGTAGTAGAGCGTCTTGTGGTCGAGAAACAGTTTCGACAACAAACATAGATTGCGGCACCAGGTGCGCTGGCGTCGGCCGTCGACCTCGAAGAAGCTGACAAAGTCGTCGCGGTAGATTTCGTTACCCGGCGGATGGCGTAACTCGCATTTGTGCCGGTGTCGCTCAAACGCCTTCTTGGACGCAAAGTACGATAGGCAGAACTCGTCAATGTATACCATGTCCACATCCGCAAACTCCTGCGGATACGGCGAGAAGTACCACGGCTCAATGATGTGTTTTCCCATCTGGATCTTGTTGAGATTGCGCACCAGATGCAGCTGCGCGTGGTTCTGCACCATGGAACCGCCCGTCCGGAGTTTCTCAATCTCCTCCTCTGGCTCCATGATTGGCGCCACTTTTTCTTCCTTTTTCGTCACTACAGCATCTCCAGTCGCTTCCGAGGCTGCTGCTGCGGCTGCTTTTGCGTCAGCGCCCACGTCGTCCTGTTGCGCTCCCGGCGTCCCAGCTGGCAATGGTAGCGGTGTGCCTGCTTGCGTTGTCACCGCCGTCGGATCGCCATCTGGAGCGAGTGCCCCATCAGCTGCTTCACGGTTCTCTTTACCGCCGGCTTTCGACGGTACAGGCCGTTTGCGGTCATTGCCGGCTTTGGACGTCAAGAGCAAGTCTGGTGTCGCAGAACCCGGCCGTGACCGTCCACCAACCTTGGTGGTGATGGACTTTGATGCCGCCGCTACCTTGGATGGCGGCCCTTTGGATGTAACAGTCGTCTTCTTCTTCTCAGGCTTTTCTGGCGCCGGCCATTCCACTTCTTGAGACAGATCGATGCGGTCTGCCGAAACCCATTCTGTAAGACGGCGAGAAAAGCAAATGTCAGCCTTGATCCTGACACAGCAAGTGGGCGTATGCAAATGTACTCGTGGCATATACCGCCTAGTCAAGGGAAGACATAATCATCACTTACCATCGAGACGTTTGTTGAACTCGACATAATGCACGCTGTTCCAGTCAGTAACTCCGCTTCACTCAGAACATCAACGCCCGGAGAACCAGGAAACGTACTAGAATGTCAGATTCCCATTCCTCTGCTTAATCGATAAGATCTCGGCCTTTCTCGTCTCGCCATTCTATCTGACCGTCAGTCATTGTATTCTTCTGATGTTTGATGTCGTCGCGAAGAGGTCGCGCGTCACGTGATTGGACTTGAAAATCCATGTACAGGTACTGGTATGGGAAGGAAAGGATATCAAATCTCACCTTTTCGACAAACGCCTTGACACCAATTCTAGACAGAAGGACAAGAGATTTTTAGCATCGATTCTTCAAGACGGGGGTTTTCGAAAAAGATTTATTGTTTTGATGCGCCTCGTAAATTCGTCTCGTTGTAGTGACTTACTGTAACTGATTCAGAGTGGCAAAACTCTTTTCCGCGGGTTCGGGTGTATCATTTGCTTCGCTCCCGTGGTCTCCGACCGCCATGATGATCGCGGCGTCGGAGCGACAAAAGTTATCGAAGCAAAAGAGTTGATGAAATGAATTGATGAAGTAGTGGTGGTTGAATGATTTATTGATCGGTCATAGGTATCTTGGGCGTAGCGGGGGCGGCGGTTTGGGGGGCCAAGTTGAGAAGAGGGATACAATTATTAGAGGCTGCGAACCCCGAGGCGCCCTCCTTGGCCTTGGCCTTGCTGCCTACAAAGTTGTCCCTTTAGGCGGCAGCTTTCACACACGGGGCGGCGCTTAGGCCCGAAGTCACCTGGAGCAAGATGCTTCAGGAGGCTTGAAGCCCACTGCTGTTCGTTCACTCCAAGTCCATAGTTACCTTTATTATACCTGTATTCATGTTCATACTTTCACTTTTCCCAATATCACATCACTATCAGGCCGCAGATCTAAATGACTGCCGTCGGCAGCGCAGCCTGAATATCATATATCAGAAATAGGTTCCCCCAAAAAACATATTATGTATTGTTGCACACCTTGACAGGTGCTGCCGATATTTGACGATACCCAGGAGAATCCATCACACGACGCCCTATGAGAAAAACACACCTCTCTCATGCTGCGCTTGCTTTGTAAAATCTGGGATAGCGAACTCAGTCTCCTACCGGCATGCTCTCAACCTGATCTACTAGACTCCTCCAGTTGCTTGCCTGTAACTCTGCATATTTGACTCGCTCCTGACTCCAGTCTTGATGTAACCGGCTGATGGCATAGATGGTGGATTGGAACGTCACAATCTCGTCCCGTACGCACTCCTTGATGAACACGCCGCGAGCATGCTGCTGAACAATGCTCTCCTTATCAGACAGGATGCTGCTCTCGACTTTCTCGATCTCGCCAGGCTTTACTTGCCCGGGCGGCTTTTGGCGCAATTGCTGTAGTTTGCGTTCTGCTGCCTCAATGCGCTTTTCCAACTGTGGAATGTTGTCGCGGGCATACCGATCCCGCCGGTCAAACATGTCACGCATGGCAACGAAATGGTCGCGGATGGCTTTGAAGTCCTCTAGCGCTCCAGTATCCCATGATCTAGCTTCGTCCTCTAGCAAGGTCTGGGTATTTGCCAGATGCTTCGCAGTCGAACTGATGCCCTCGTTTAACAGCGGGACATCGTTCGTATCAATGGCATAGGTATCGTTGGTAAACTCGGTCAGATGCGAGAGTGCAAGACTGAACCTGGAATTGTCTGAAGCAAGTCCTTCATTTCGTTTGACCAGACGTTCGAGAAGAACGCAGAGGTTGATGTATATTTCCGCCGAGCGCTTCACTCCAGCGCGAACCTGTTCGAAGAGTTCAGGCAGGGAACTCGGCAAGCTGTCTTCTAGCGTAGGCGGCAGAGCTTTGCCAGTAAATTCTTCCTGCACTGATATAGTGGCTTGCTTCCGCCATACTGCGAGCTCCTAGATTGCGTTATGCGTCAGTGACTCGCATAGAAGACAATACACAATAGGCGGCAAACACTCACTGTTGGGACGGTGAGGAACATCACCACTAGGGTCTCCTGGCTCAAAACGGGATGCTGGACTAGTGCATTTGTGAAACGAACCAGGCCGCGTCTTCGCTTTTCTAAGAAGACTGCTGCGTCGGCTGCAAGATGTGTCCCATTCACTGTAAGCCTGGATCAGCCGAAGGCAATCACGGTACGGGAACTGCTCACCTTGTACTCGCTTTGGAGGTAAAAGAGGCAACCGCCGGAAGGGGTACCTCTTTTGTAAGCAGTCGAGGAGCCATACAAAGTCGCTGTATCGTCGGACAACAGTGCTTCCTCTTCTCACCGTTTTAACCTCATAGTTGTGATGTTGAAATAGGAACATGCCCTCCTTGTCTGGGAGCATGGTAACGGTCACGCTCTCGCCGGTCCCAGGCGGTATCGTGATGCTCTGAGAGATAGAAGTTTGCGCATTTGGGGGCTCGCGATTGGGCTGATCGTCCCCCGGTTGGCCAAATCCTCCACCAAGTGTTGGCTGTTCTGAGAAGCCTGTCGAGCTGCCATTGTAGCTGCTCCACTCGGCACCTGCACTCGCCGACAAGGTCTCTTGGGGAGAGCCGGTGCCACTGTTGGTGTTATCACCTCCAGTAGTGAATGCACTTGTCGTCCTTGCGACCCCGTTCAGGCCGTTCTTTGCACTGTTTTCGCTTCCACCGCTGGCTGCTATGGTATGAGCTGCTGCCGAAGGAGGTGGTAATTGGTTGTTCGAAGGACTTGCCCAAGGGTCTGCCGTGGGGTCACCGCCGAAAGAATCCTGCCGGGTCTTTTGAGGTTTCACCGGGAGTGGTTTGGCAGCTTGGGGAGAGCTCGTCTGCGATTGACTTAATGCCCGCAGCTGGTCGATATACGCCACTTTTGGTATGGGCAGTTCTGGCAACGTCAATTATGTACCAGCAGTAGACACTCTTTTGACTTACTCCGCCTCCTGTCGTCGACCCCATCGAGGGTAATGTCTTCGCCTTCTTGTGCCAATCCTATGAGAGCGAGGAGGACATTGAACTCGCTCCTCCCAACTCCATTGACACTTTCATGGCCACCAGGTATCACAAACTCTAGGATCTTCTGCTGCTCCTGTTCACTCAAGTTGCTGCTCTCCAGAACCTTTACAACCGCGCCCAGGCTAATCCCGACCCCGGTCCGCTCATTTGCGTTCAGGACAAGATCGTACGCATCGACATAGTACTCCGGGACATCAGTAGCAGGAAGGAGATTCTTAACCAGATTCTGCCGGGCTGCCCTCTTCGGTGCTGGCATTGACCACGGCGATTCACCGCCGTCATCGTCGGCAAAGAGCGAGGAGGCAGACGGAGCAGCAGACGCTCCTTCGCCAAAGAGCGACTTGGATTCGAGCGGCGCAGGATCCTTCGGGGAGGAACCGAACAGGGACATGATGGCGTGAACGTGGAAGGACGGGGGACAAACAGGCTGCCGATTAGCTCAAGTTCAATGAGTGGCATAGGCTATCTATATCGGCGTCGACATGTATACTGAACTCCGGCAATCTTCAAGCGGGCGCGACTCGAGAAAACGTAATTAAAAAAGCGCAGACCGGGTTATCACAATTTACAAGACGTGGACAGAGCTGCCAGTATCGAGGCCGGTAGCACTATCCTAACGTCGTAGCAGGAGTCGTAACGATAGCCCAGCCATGGAGCCCGGCCGATCATTGACGTATGCTGACTCAGCGTGTCGCATGCCCAGCACGCGCAAGGAAGATACTCATATATCTGGTATATACTAGTACGACGGAATCGGCCAGCTTCTTTAGGTTTTAACAGATGCATACCTGGTAGTTAGTTGATAATAAGGCAAGTACGGCGTCATGCCAGTAGAAATCGGAAGATTCAATGGTGACCCTAGGAACAACGGCGAAATATGAATTGGACTATACTCCCGTCTTACAAACAAGCCGGAATGTATTCGATCATGTGCTCTCATACGAACCCATCTAGACCTTGATGCTGAAATCCTTGTGAGACCATTTCTGCGTGAGCTTGACTTGCTTCTTCTTCGGCTGCAGCACAGGCTTTCGAGCCTCTAGTTTGCCATTCACCAAGAGAGTCCTGAACCGATCGTTCAACAAATTTCCCTCTGGCTTCAGCCGCCGTAAGGACTCCTGCAGCTCGTCAGGCAGTACGACCTCGAGCGGTTTCTCCGGGATCAAGGCGGGGCCCCTCTTCCGTCGCCGTAGAGCTCGGTCGTCTCCTTCTTCCGCTTGGTCGGCCTGCTCGTTCTGAGCCAGCTCTAGTTTGTCTTCCTCTTGCCGTTTGATCAGCTCCAGCAACATCTGCTCCGCCTGTTTCTGCTTCCGGCCCATTCTCTCCTCGTGCTTGGCAATCCTCTCTGCTTCCTTCCTTCTCTTTGCCTTATTTCGCTGGGCAGGTGTTTTGCGCTTTGGTCGCTTCTTCTCCAACATCTCCTGGTCTTCATGCTCGGTTTCGAACCCCTCCCAAGCACTGTCATCGTCTGCCGGATTCGTTTCTGAAGCAGCTGCGAGAGCTCGAATCCTGGCTTCCTTTTCGGCCGCAGCTTGCGCCACGGCCAATCGCTGTCTCTCAGCTTCCAGCTCTTTCTCGCCTTCTTTGTTCAGTAGCTCATCCCAATCCTCGAATGCCGGGTTATAACTCGTGCCAGCCTCCGGTTGCTTAACCGGCCGGACTGGTTTCCCATTGGCAGTCATGGGGACGGGTGGTTTGCGGAGTGTGGGAGGGGCGACCTTTGGCTTGGGCTTAGGTATATACTCTTCTTCAGGCTTAGTGACTTGTTCGACTGCAGTGTTCTCTGACCACAAATCAAAATTGGAGACTTCGCCGTCGATATTCTGCGCGTCCAGACGTGAAACCGTGTTGATGCTGACTTTGAGCCTTTGTACTTCCTTTTTGCTCACCCAATCTGGTTTCTGTTTCTTTCTTGACTCAATGACTCCATCAGTAACCGCTCCATGCGGTCTCTTCCGGCTGTCGACTGCGGGTACGGCAGACCGCCTGGTCAGAATCTCGTCGATTTTGAGCGGTTTTTGAACGTTGTATTTCTTTTTGATATCCGCTGAGCCCTGGGTATCTACTGCGAACAGTTCTTCGGAAGGTTTCTCGGCGATCGGGCCTCCGTGGAGGATTTCCTCCCGCAACTCCTCAAGGCCATGCTGAACTTCGGTAATGTCGACATTCTTGCGCCAGGCCTTTTTGCCTTTACGTGAGGGTTGTTTGTGCTGCTGGGGTGCACCTATAGAGGACGCCATAGTCGCGCAGAATACTTTTTGTAAGACTGTCGAGGCTGTTCAAGTTGGGCGTTGTGCAGGCTCAATTCTCTCGGTACGAAAAATAAATGCGCCGCCCAAAATCTCGAGACGATCCCCAGGCTCCGCACACGCAGATAAGCCTGCCAAGAATGATAAGGCAAGTTTCTGTCTGACGCCGTAATCAGGCTAAAGGAAGGCAGATGCCACCTACCAGGTAGGTGGGGATGCGTTCAAAAATCCGTGTCAGACAAGTACCCTTAAACGTGAGTTCAAGTTGATGCCAGAGGCCTGGGCCTCTCGACGGGTTCGTTCACGAAATAATAATGGACATTTGTTTGGCGGTTTCTACGCTGCTGCACTGGCCGACCAGTATAACCAAACTACCTAGGTAGGTACATGTTCTTCGAGGACGCCGTCAGATATTCCTACAGGCGCAAGTAATAGTAGGTCTCTGCGACTCAAGTTCAAGTTGCACTGCAGACGCCTGCCGTTAAGCTCACCTTCCTCACCCTCACCCTTACAACCACCACCCTCACTCGACCCGATGCCACTTCGAAATCCTCTCCAGACAGCATTCTCAAATGCTGCGTCAAACTTTCCGCCTTGGACAACGTAGCATTGTTCAACGAGCTACACGTTGCATATCCCAAGTCCGCACTTTCCAGGCAACGGCGCGTAAGACACATCATTCAACTTCGATCGTAAAGCTATTGGCATGTCTACAGGTTTGCTTTCTGGTGATAAGGACACCGGCTCTGCCCCTCACTTCAGCCGAAATCTCGGTGACAAGCTCAACTACTTTAACAAAGAGTTGACGGCGAGGCGAAATCAGAGATGGCGCGCCTCGTTGAGAAATCGGACTAGAAATTCGCAAGCCTTGAATCAGAGATAAGACACCTTCGATCAGAGCTCAAATCAGACATGGCACACCTTCGATCAGAGCTCAAATCAGACATGGCACACCTTCGATCAGAGCTCAAATCAGACATGGCACACCCACGAAAAGAACATCACTATGGAGATAGGGTCAAGACTGGATAAATTTGAGATTCGATTCTTGTTTCGAATGCTCTTCGCTGTAAGTGATCTTCGTATTTACTAATTGCTACTTTCTAATAAATACGAAGGCATTTGTTGCAGTGGGTGGTACTGTCACTGCCACTGATCTACAAAACCCAAATCCTACTGTCCAGACTCCTACGACCCAGACTCCTACGACCTAGACTCCTACGACCCAGACTCCTACAACCTAGACTCCTACAACCTAGACTCCTAC